TGAAATAAAAAATAAAATAAAATAAGTAAAAAGTACTCCTCGAAAAATGAAAAACATGTTAAAAAGTAGCCGTTGCACAGTGGTCGCCATTGGCCAAAATTCAAAAAATGAAAATCAGATATTTATTGTCAAATGTGTACAAATGAACTCTTAAGGGGTTAAGCTTTTTAGACAACATAATAATCTTGGCTTCTTTCTAAAGGCGCACTTCAAAAATAGCATCAAAAAAGAGAAAATGTAGTGGGATCAGAGAAAAAGTGGAGTAAAAATAGAACTGTATTACAAAATCAAATACATATTAAAATGACAAATCTTGGCATTATTATTGAAAACTTGACTTTTTTTAGTGTAGTAATTTATGTGTTTAGTATATGTGTATAACATAGAAGATGTGAGTGTTCTGAGTTGCCTTTAAGATTAATTTTGAAAATAAAATTGGATTTCAGTTAAAGTTTTAATTGTTTTCCCCCCTGAATCACGACATTAGTAATAGTCCAAAGATTCTAAAAGTGCTAATTTAACTTTCAGAATTTGTCAGATGTGTAAGATATGCCCAATATACTGAAGTGACTTCGCTGCAAATTTGTCAGTTCTATAGTGCTAGTGACATAGAATATGTTTTTATACCCTCCACCATACTATGGAGGGTATATTAAATTTGTCATTCTGTTTGTAACTCCTCGAAATACTCATGTCAGACCCAACAAAGTATATATATTCTTGATCAGCGTAAAATTCTAAGTCGATTTAGCGATGTCCGTCTGTCTGTCTGTCTGTCCGTCTGTCTGTCTGTCTGTCCGTCTGTCTGTCTGTTGTAATCACGCTATCTTTCGAATAAATTGAGATAGATGGCTAAATTTTGCACACATGTTTATTTTTCCAGTAGGCAGGTTAAGTTCGTAAATGGGCCATGTAGGTCCACGTTTTCATATAGCTCCCATATAACGGTACCTCCGGATTTTCGGTATTTTGATGATTTTAGCGACGTTATTCACCGGAATTGTTTCAAATTTGGTATTTTAAGTTCCAAATGGATACTACACCCTAAGATAGAAAATTATCTGTGCAAGTCTATGTCTTCGTATAGCCCCCATATAACGGTACCTCCCGATATTCGGTATTTTGATGATTTTAGCGACATTATTCACGGGAATTGATTCAAATCAGGTATTTGAAGTTCCAAATGGATACTACACCCTAAGACAGAAAATTGTCTTTGCAGGTCCACGTCTTCGTATAGCCCCAATATAACGGTACCTCCCTATATTCGGTATTTTGATGATTTTAGCGACGTTATTCACCGGAATTGTTTCAAATTTGGTATTTGAAGTTCCAAATGGATACTACACCCTAAGATAGAAAATTGTCTGTGCAAGTCTATGTCTTCGTATAGCCCCCATATAACGGTACCTCCCGATATTCGGTATTTTGATGATTTTAGCGACATTATTCACTGGAATTGTTTCAAATTTGGTATTTTAAGTTCCAAATGGATTCTACACCCTAAGACTGAAAATTGTCTGTGCAGGTCCACGTCTTCGTATAGCCCCCATATAACGGCACCTCGCTATGTTCGGTATTTTGATGATTTTAGCGACATTATTAACCGGAATTGTTTAAAATTTGATATTTGAAGTTTGTTATGGGAACTACAGTCTGTGACAGAAAATTGTCGGTGCGGGTCCAGTTGCGAATTTGAATATGGTAATGGCTTATGACAAACAATGCATATGTATGTCCACGTCGTATAGACCCCAAGATAACGGCTATATTCGGTATTTTTAAAATTTTAACAGAATTTTTTAAGGATTTTATTTTTTTGAAAATTTCCAAATTCGTTGTAAATGGTGGAGGGTATTAAAAGTTCGGCCCGGCCGAACTTACTGCTTTTTAACTTGTTGTTTCTTGGGATTGATAAGGATGTAATTAAGGGGTGTTCAATAATGTGGCAAGCATTGTCTTCTGGGTATAATATTAATGTCGAAAAATTTAAGGCCTTTGCACTGGAAACTGCTAAAGAGTTAACAACCATATATCCATGGGACTATCTTCCAAGTTTTGACTAAATCATGCCCGAAAAAATGTTCGTGTTTCAACAAACGCTGATCTAATTAACCGTCTTCTTCTGAGCTCTGACCCTTTTATAACGGGACAGCGAACGTTACCAAACAATAACCAGTAAAGAAAGTCTTAAAGTCGGACGGGGCCGACTTCTGATACCCTACACCTTTGCATATTTAGTAGAGCGTCACTAACAAATAAAGCTTTTAATGGGGAATTTGTGAGAATTAAATCATCATTTGGGCTGATATTACAAGCTTGGTGCACAATATAAGGCAAATTGGATGAATATATATGGGAGCTTTTCCTAAATTTTTACCGATTATCTCCAATTTCAATAGGACCTTAAGACAAACAAATTTACATTAAATTGTTATAATTTAATTTTTTTTTTTTACAAAAAATAATCAAATTTGGATTTGATTTGTATAAAAAAATGCTTCTATTTTTGGAGGCATCTTTAAAGGGGGACTCTACCTGAAGCCTTCCAAATAATTTTCACTTAGATTATTTTTTAACTCCTTAGAATGTAAAATGTCAAATAACATTTCAATCTGGTGCAGAAATGTGACAAGAATTGGACAAATAACCCTTATTCGGGAGGTATGTTGTAAGGGGACCATGCCAAAACATGCATCGACCATATCCATTTTGTCACATTTTTTATAGTTATCCCATCAAGGTACCATAACCAAAGATTCATATTGATATCTGCACTGAAAGTATTTTTGGGCGCTGTTCCCATACGACCTCGACCACTGTGCGTTGGTTTTGCCAAGCTATGCCGACTTCTGTTCTGATTCATCAAACAATTGACCCTCTATGGAGTAGATTCCGAAGGAATAGTTTAGTACTGTCCATTTCATATGGGACCTAAATAAATATGATATACATATTGTGACGTGCCGGTTTGGACTATATAGACTACTTCCTTCACTTTTCATGAAATATGTGATAATTTTTAGAAAATGTTGAAATATGCGTGAGGTATAAAATATACAGTAGACCGAAGTATGCCATTTTCATACTTCATCTAATATAGATAAAAGTATTGGGATGGGCAAAATTACAAGAAAATCAAATATTTATAGCCAATTTTATGCGAAATGATAAATTCCTTATTCATCTCAGGTTTCTAGTTACGAGACATATGTTTAGATATAGCAACGTTGCAAAGAAACGCAGACTTGTTTCGCCAGTTATGACAGAAATTGTGACCCTTTGTGGGTGAGGTGTTAGAACTTCAAATTTTTATTTTGAAATAATTCTTGTGAAAAGTATGACTAAAATCGTCAAAATACCGAATATTTGAAGGTACAGTTATGTGGGAGCTATATATGAAGACGTGTACTTATACAGGTTGAGATAAAAAACTGCAACAAAGTCAAACGCCATAATTTTTAAATTTTTTTTAATTTCATTGAATGAAAGCAAAAAATGTCGGAAATAGCATCAAATTTTAGAATAAGTTTAGATTTGTTCGCATTACTCCCCTTTGGCACGAATTATGGCCTTCAAACGACAAATGAAACCATCACTTTGGTAATTTTATATCATACACCATAATATCGAGGTTATGTTCAGTTTGTCATTCCTTTCGTAACACCTCGAAATATACATTTTAGATTTTGGAAAGTCTATGTCGATTTAGTAATGTCAGCCCGCCAGTCCGTCTATCCGTCTGTGGAAATCACTCTAGCTTCCGAACGCAATGAAGTAAGTTGATAAAAATTTATTCAAATGTGTACTAAGTCTGCAGGACTTTTGGTAATGAAAATGGGCCATGTAGGTCCACTTCTTCCTATAGCCCCCATATAACGGTACCTCCAGATATTCGGTATTTTGATGATATTAGCGACATTATTTACCAGAATTGTTTCAAATTTGGTATTTGAAGTTCGTAATAGATACTACAGCATGAGACAGAAAATGGACCATGTAGGTTCACGTTTCAGCTGACCTCTTTGGAAAGTAAACACGATAATTTTGTTTTGTTTTGTTTTGTTTGTAAACTGCTAAACAACGAATGTTTTCTCATTGGAGAAAACCAAATTCGACAGTTCACCACTTTCGTCCAAGCTAAGCAACTCATTAGCTCTTTTGAGTCTATTTTCTTTCTGCTGCGGTGTAAGTTCTTGCACTTTTTTCAATTTCAATGGCTTTACCCCGAGCTCATTTTTCAATGTTTGCCGAATAGAATATTGGGATATGTTCAGCTCACGAGCCATTTTTCGGGTTTCGATCAAGTCTTTACTTCTTTATTTTTCGAACCATTTCTGCTGATCTTGCTGTTTTATTCCGTCCACTTCCTAGACATCAGGCTACGCTACCAGTATCACGGCAACGAGCGATGGTACGAGACACAAGCGATTTATTCAAATTTAAATGTTGGAGTGCTCTAACGATAGCCACTTGTGGTTTTCCAGCCAAATTTAAAGATATCACACTATCACGCTTTAATTCCATCACGAATAACTTGTTCTTCTGGAAAATTCTCACAAAAATGCTTTTGTCCGTTTGTAAACAATATAATGAGCTGTCACTGGCTTAGAAATTACAGTAGTCTGGTTGCAGTTTTTTCATCTCACCCTGTATAGGCGATTTCCTATCAAAGGAAGAAGTACCCTTTACAAACTCTTAACTCGAAAAATGATAACCAATGAAATTTTTCCTGTCGAAAAAAAATCTCCAGTGAATTTTGGTACAGCCCCCATATAACGGTTCCTTCACATATTCGGTATTTTGACGATTTTAGCAACATTATTAATCGCAATTGTATCAAATTTGGTATTTGAATTTCGAAATGGATACTACAGTTTAAGTCAGAAAATTGTCTGTGCAGGTCCACGCCTTAGCATAGCCCCCATATAACAGTACCTCCCGATATTCGGTATTTTGATTCGATTTTCATGAAACTCCAGAGTTCTTCATATTTCCTCTCAGTTTTAAATCAATCTCATATTTATTTTTAAAAACACTTAAAATTCTCTCAACACTTTAAATTTATCACACGCACAAAAATTACGATTATTTGCAAATACAAACACAAAAGGCTTTGCCATATTTTCGAACAGATGATTATCCTTAGCAAATTGGATGCCCATGTTGAGAGAACGATTTAATTCATCATGCCAGGAATTCTCCAAATTGTCTTCCATCCTGGTGACCGCAATTCCACAATTATAATTCACCAACTGACGACATAGGTCTGCATTGCGAACAACTGCTATAACTTTGACGTATGGCAAGAATTTCAGACAACGTCCCACTTCGCGAAGACCAAAATCTATTGCCACATCGATAATCATCAATTGGCATTGGAAATTTTGAATATTTTCTAAAATCTCAAATTCAAAAAGATTTGAAAATTTCGATTTCATTTCATTCGATATTTGGAAATTCGCCTTAGGACCAGAACGTTGTATATACCAGGGAACAGTGCGATTAACAAAATCATATGCTAATTGTTTTCGTATTTCCCTATCCCGTTCAATGTTTGCCAATTGCTGGTCTAATGGCATTATTGTCGGAACTGGTGTACGATAGGGCATCTGTTCCAATTCCAATTCATTTTGATTTTCTCCAGTTGCTTGCTCGTTGCGAGCGTCTAATTCCAAAGGTTTTCGATATTCTCCATAACATTTCGCTGCCAGCAAACTGTGAGCCCAGAGATTATCAAATTTCACTTCGGGAATGAAAAATTTGGTTTTATTTTCCCTGTTAATTTCACAAACATTTTCTTCCAGAATTCTTGGCCACATAAAGTCCAAAAAGGACTTTTTAATGATTGTTTCGGAATTATTCATAACGGGATTCCTTGGGATATTAATTAGGACGTAATCGTCTAAAAAAAATATTTTTTTAAATAAATAAATGTTAAAATTTTCAGTTCTAAATGATTTTTAAAATTCTTCGATTCTTAGAGTTCTTACCGAAATGGTTGCGTCTGCGTCGATTCATTAGCCCCAAAAATTAAATAGACGAAATTCAATAAATCTTACCCAAAAAAAATAAATAAATAAATAAATAATAATAAATAAATAAATGAATAAAAATAAGTTCGGCCAGTAGTCCCATCTGACATCTAATTGGTTTATGGCCAGGTGTTCCAGAACCTACTTTGTTTGCATTTTTTTTTTTTTTTTTTTGATATCATATAAAGAACATGCTTTTAATGCTTTTCCGGAACGTTTCATACATAGACGTAGGTTGAACATTTTAACTTTGGCAGGATGGACAAAATTTCACTCAAATGTTTTTCGGATCTGCAGAATTTTTGGCATTGAAAATGTTCATGTTTTGGTATGGGCTCCCATATAACTGTAACGACAAATTTAAGGTGGTTTTGGTGTTTTAGTCACAATTTTTAACTGAATTTTCTATAAATTGGTATAGATCTCAAAGTTCGGGTGTAGATCCCGTATAACTGTACCTCCAACTTTTCGATGATTTGTGTCACACTTTTCATCCACTTTTTTCAAATTTGGTATTTGAAGTTCGTAATGTGTACCACCTCCAATGCATATGCAAGTCCACGTCTTCGTATAACCCAATAAAACGGTGCCTTCCCATATTCGGTATTTGGATGATATTAGCGACCTTCTACAACAAAATTATTTGAAATTCGTAATTTAAAGTTCACAATAGGTACTAAAGGTGCAAGTACATAAAAAGCTTGAAGACATGGCTAGGCATATTTTATGAGTATTCATAAAGGGATTAAAGAGCCGCACTAAAATTCTGCCGTCGTTTTCCATTATAATTTGGCATTAATATGCCTAGCCATGACTTCAAGCTTTCTATGTGTTTGCCCCTTAACTTTTCTGATAGAAAATTATCTATCTTCGGCCCTTTCTCGATTTTAGACATATTTTTTCAACAGAATTATTCCAAAGTTCGCAATAGGCATTGCCCTCTCTAGCGGGACACAGGTCCAAGTTTTCGAATTGCATTCTTTTATTTTTATCAAAATATGTGCTCTGATAATACAGTTCAACTCACTCTATTCCCATTTAACCACGAACCTCACTTATGGTTAAACAAGCAAGTGACCGATACTTCGTCACTTCCACAAATTTCAGGATTTCAACACTATTCCCTCACCCAATAACAAATGTATTATCATTTTGTACTTTTGGTACAGTAATAGTACATATTTCCAAACCCTCCTAAAACTTTCGACCACTGATACCAACAGAGACTTCAATATCAGATTTGAGGATTCCAGCCCTATACCCTAACCCATTAACATATATGGTATCATTTAGTACTTTTCATACAATTATAGTACTCTGTTCCAAACCCACCTCCATATCTCAACCACAGACACCAAGAGACACCTCAATATAAGATTTGAAATTCCAGCCCCGTGCCTTCACCGTGTATCAAATATAGTACCATTCAATACCTTTTGTACAATTATTGTACACACTTCCAAAACCACCCCTATATCTTAATTGCCGATACAAAAAGTGACATCTATACCAAATTTGAGGATTTTAGTTCTATTCCTTCACTCAATACCGAATGTAGTTCTATTTAGTACTTTTCGTACAATTATAACACACACTTCCAAAACCACCACCATGCCTTAACCACAGACACCAACAGTGACTTCCATATCCAATTTCAGGATTTCAGCTATATTCCTTCACCCAATACCAATCTTCTTTCTAATTAGTCCTTTTCCCACAATTATAGTACAAATTAAAAAAAATCTTTATAACATAACCACAGACACAAAAAAAAAATATTTATATAAAATTTTAGGATTTCAGCTCTTTTCCTTCAAAAAATACTAAATTTAGTACTACTTAGTACTTTTCGTACAATTATAGGAAGCATTTACAAGACCACCTCAATATTATAACCGTAGACACCAACAATGATATTTAAAGCAAATTTATGGATTCCAGCCCTATCCCTTCACCCAATACTAAATTTGGTACTATTGAGTACTTTTAGTACAATTATAGTACACATTTCCAAACCAATACCAAATCTCAAACACAGATACCATCAGTAATATAAATTTCAGAAATTTGTCTCTATCCCTTCACTCAATACTAAACATAGTACCACTCAGTACTATTTGTATAATTATTGTACACATATCCAAAACCACTTCCATATCTTAGCCGTAGACAACAACAGTGACATCTATATCAAATTTCAGAATTTAAATCTATTCCTTTACCCAATTTCAAATTTGGTACTATTTAGTATTTTTCCAAAATTTTACACCCACATCTCAATCCCAGATACCAATAGAGACCTCAACAACAATAGAGACCAAATACCAAATTTGGTACTATTTAGTATTTTTCGTATAACTATAGTACATATTTCCGAAACCACCGCTAAATCTCAAAAACAGATACCATCAGTAATCTAAATATAAAATTTCAGAATTTTATCTCTATCCCTTCACTCAATATTTAATAAAGTGCCATTCAGTACTTTTTGTACAATTGCAGTACAAATTTACAATTCCAAAAACCAATTTCCCAACAAGTCCAGGCTAGACATGAAGAGAGATCCCAACACCAAATATCAGATTGCCAGCACTACCTTTTTACCAAGTACCAAATTGTACATAATATAGTACTATTTAGTACTTTTCGTGTACTTATGATATACATTTCTGAAATCACCTTTTTATCACAGGTAGCCCAATAAAAACATTCAAAATTCCAGCTTCATCCGTGCACCTCAAACCAAACTGTTCCAAATTTATAACCATTTAGTACAGTTCCCATACATAGTACATATTTTAAAACCCACCTTCATATATCAAACTTACCGCCCAACCTTGCTTATCATACCAAATTTCAAATTTTTTGGCTTTATCAATTTACTAAATTATACCATTTTAGAAGTTTAGTACAATTTTATAACTTTTCGTAACGTTAACGTTCAAATTTTCAAAAATCCATTGGTACACCTATCCTAAACTCCATCAAATAATTTTTTTTTGCACATTAAGGTACTTTTCGTACTATTTTAGTACGTACCGACGCCTAGGCACCAAGACGAACCCTCGTTCAAAATTCTAGGTTTAGCTTTGTCCGTTCCGTCTGGGAGTAAAAATAACCGAATGACCTTACTCAGTAAATATTACTAGAAAACAAGTGAGCAAGGACCATAGTCGTGCGGGGCCGACCATGTGATACCCTACAACACAACAATATGTTAGAAGCCCCCCCTATGTCCAAATCCCTTTTGGAAGATTTCGCTTTTGAAATTATGTCATGGAGCACTGCCTAGATATTACCCTTAGCATTTTGACCAGGGACATTTGGTCAATATTTATGCACTCCGTCGTGCTGTTAGTTGTTGTGGTCCATTTTACAGCTAAATATAATCCAATGGTCTTTCAAAATGCTAGAATTCTTCTTATATACTTTTATGCCAAGAGGGCATTCTGAATTGACAAAATTTGTCGAAATCGGTCCAGCAATTCTTAAGATATACGCATCCCAGCTAACATAACCTTCCTTTGTATATATACATTGTATATATTCCGCTATATATATCCGATATATTTACTACCGGCATCTATGTAATGGTCAGAATTGACCTATTCGGCTATTTGTGATTTCGTCGCGATTCAAATTTTTTTTTTTATTTTTAATGGAAAATTTGACTTTTATTTAACACAAATGTTATGGTCTATTTCACCCACTAAATATTACCCGATGGCCATCCAAATTGGCAGGCTTATGAACAGCCCTAAGCTTTTGTCCCATGCTAACTTCCGCGTCGATTGGTCTATAATTGCGACCTGTAGAGCAAGAACAATTTTTAGTTTTTGGTCCATTTCAACCCCTAACTATTATGCGATCATCTCCAAAAGCAATACGCTTCCATTCTGGCCCTAGCCCCACCTCCTAAATTTCGTGAATGTCGGCCCATAATTGCGACCTTCGGAGTGGCTACAAATTAACAGACGGACGAACGGAGGGATAGACCGACTCATCACGGCGAGATAGAAAGATCCATATATACTTTCCTATGTGGAAAACCAATATTTCGAGGTGTTACATAATTTTTGTCCCAATCAAACTTATAATACCCTCAACACATAGTGTTGTAGGTATAAATACCCAGACAGAGCCAATATTATTTAAAATTTGAAACATTTTTTTAAAAGAAAAATATAAATGGAAAGTCAAATAACGTCCTTGGCAGAGATAAGCCGTCAAATGGCCCAAAAATTAAATCGTTTAGGTCTACGGAAATTAAGGCATGCCCACAAAACCCTAACACAATTGCAGCAGAAGGTGGTATTGAGCAAATTCGGACGGCTTGAAGATGATAAGTTTCCACAAAATAAAACCAAAAAAGAATTTCCAACTCAAAATGTTGCCGACTCGGAACAGCTTGACGACAGTGATGTCTTCGAAGAAAGTGAAGCTGAGGAAGAAGATTTCGAAATTCTGGAAACAGTTAAGTGTTCGCAATTATCTGAAGATTCCTGGTTGGGTTATTTCGCTGGTTATGAAATTTTGAATAAAGAAGAAAAAATCTATTTAAATGGCAACAAGCAATGCATTGAACTTAGTGGCTATAATTCGGATCCTAAGACTTTGGAGGATTATTTACGTGCGGGGATGCGATGTTTCTTTATGGACTTGTTTGTGGGAACGGAAGTGGATAAACAGAGATGTGTTTTCAATTTAAGAAATTGTGAATTGAAAATATCTCAGGAATATGGTTATCCGGTGAATGTCAGCTTGTTTGCCATATTAAGTCCACGTTGTCAGTACACTGGTTATTTTGATGATCCAACTGCTGTTTATGAAATGGAAAAAGGAGAAACACTGACATTAACCACAAATCGTCAATATTCCACAAAGGGATGTCGTAGGAAAATCTATGTAAATGGCCGGTTTCTTGTCGATGAATGCCAATTGGGAAATTATATTTTAATTGGCCCCTCACTTCAGGTACGAATCATTTCAATTGTTGGCGAAGATCTAAATTGTGAGGTAATGGAATGCGGTGTTTTGCGTTCAAAATCTGCGGTACGTTTCCCGGGACGATGTAATCGTTCCAGAGTTTCCGTAGAGGAAATTGAGGATATTACATTTGCCCGGGAGATGGGCATTGGAGTATTGATTTCGTACATAGCCGGTACTGAATTGTATCTGAAGGAGTTGCAGGAGGTGTTGGGTCTCCTAAATTGTCAAAATATGCAACTTGGCTGTCGTGTGGTATTAAATGAAATGCAGGAGAAAGAAAATACCAATTTCGAGTGGATCGTCAAGGGATATGATGTTTTTTTAATAGAATTTAAAATCGCTTCTGAAGGCTTCCAAGAAGGATATAAAGGAAAGGCGAAGGAAATCACTACCACAAATCCTGAGATTTTAAATTTAAGTCGGACAGCTTCAAATTTTTTGAAAAGTGTCTATAGACAAAAGAAAGCCATAATAATGGATTGCACGCCCTTCGTTGGGCGCCAGCTCTTTGTGGATCCATGCAATTGGCCAGAGGTTTTCTATTATCCCGATAAATATTTTATTAAATCCGACCATGGTAGCTACGACTCCTTTCAATTTCATCTACTGCAACGATCTATCTTCAATCACATGTTTCCATCGCTTTGGTCCTCTTCCCCTTTCTATTGTGATGAATCTCAAAGTGGCTGTGATACTATTGCCCGGTCCTGTATCGCAGCTTCTCTGGAATGTAATGCTGCTGCCATACTTTTATGTTCCATATTACCAGACATGGCAATTAAATTATCCCATTTTCGACCAATAACTCCAATATATTTTTTATCCGCCACCAAATCTACGGCTGATTATATATCCATGTATCATAATGTTATATATCTTTATCAGAAACACTCGGATTGTTATCGTAAATTTGTCACAGAGGGATTTCTCTGTGGTCTAACTTATTTACATGATCGAAAATTGGTAACAAATGGACGATGCGTTATCCTAATGTATGGTCACAATAGTGCCATTGATCTTCCAGACAAATATGTGATTTTAAAATTTAATGCAGAAACATTTGAGGAGAATTTAAATAAACTTTTCATTAACTAAATGGAAATAACTAAAAATTTGAAATCTGATTTTAGGCAAATTGTTTCCAAATTGAAACTTGAGGTCTTCTATTTTCCATACAGGGTCATAAGGTCTGCTAGACCCTAATATACGGCTACATTCGGTTTTTTTTAAGATTTTAATAGAATTTTTAACGGATTTTATTTTTTTCACACACACATTTAGTCACATTGAATTATTGCCTATAAACCGTCACACGCTGCCCGAATGTTTCTCCCTGGTATTTCGGCCCATTCCCGATCGACACTTTGGTATTTTTTTTAGTTCCGACCTTGCTTTCCAAAATACTCCAGACACAATAGCCCAAAGGATTGGTATCCGGAGATTTTGGTGGCCATTGTGCAGGTCCACGTCATCGTATAGTCTCCATATTTGGTATTTTGATCCCGATATTCGGTATTTTGATGCTTTTAGCGACTTTCTTCACCGGAATTGTTTCAAGTTTGGTATTTGAAGTTCGTAATGGATATCATAGCCTAAAACAGAAAATTATCTGTGGAGGCCCACGTCTTCGTATAACCCCCATATAACGATGCCTCCCGATATTCGGTATTTTGATGATTTTTGCTACATTATTCACCGATTTTTATACCCTCCACCATACATAGTATGGAGGGTATATTAAGTTCTTCATTCCGTTTGTAACTCATCGAAATAATAATTTTAGACCCAACAAAGTATACATATCCTTGATCAGCGTGAAATTCTAAGACGATTTAGCCCTGTCCGTCCGTCGGTCCGTCTGTTGTAATCACGCTACAGTCTAAACGAATTAAGATAGGAAGCTAAAGTTTTGCACAGATCTCTCTTTTGTTTGCAGGCAGCTCAGGTTCGAAGATGGGCTATATCGGTCCACGATATCGTATAGCCCCCATATAACGGTACCACCCGTTATTCGGTATTTTGATGATTTTAACCACATTTTTCAACGGAATTGCCTGAAAATCCATACAAGGAGTTCCTTATGAATATTTCACAACCTGAAAGAGAATTGTGTATATAGGTCGACGATATCGTATATACCCCATATAACGGTACCCTCCGATATTCGGCATTTTTATGATTTCAGTCACATTTTTCCATGGAATTTGTCCATTCCACACAAGGGCTTCTTTGTGAGCACTTTAACCCCTGACATAGATTTCTCTATATAGTTTAACGATATTGTATAGCTCCATATAACTGTACCTCCCGATATTCGGTATTTTGATGACTTTAGCTTTATTTTCCAATGGTATTGTCTGCAAATCCACACAAGGAATTCTTTTTAAGCACTTTAATCCCTGAAAGATATTTGTCTATATAGGTCCACAATATCGTATATCCCCCATATAACGGTACCCCCGATATTCGGTATTTTGATGATTTTAGCCATATTTCCCAATGGAATTATCTGAAAATCCTTGTGAGTACTTTACCCCAGACATAGATTTGTCTATATAGGTCCACAATATCATATATCGCCCCCACATATCTGCACCTGCCGATATTAGGTATTTGAAAGATTTTAACAGAATTTTCAATGGATTTTATTTTATTTTTTTTTTTTTTTGAGAATTTTCTAATTCGTTGCAAATGGTGGGGGGTATTCAAAGTTCGGCCCGGCCGAACTTACTGTTTTTTTACTTATTGAAATTTAATATGAAGAATGTTTGCCGATTTAAAACATTGTTATTTATTTCTCAAATAAAATGTTTGCAAAATTATAATTTTCAAAATTATGTCTTCTTTTCAGTTGTGGTTGTTGTAGTTGTCGTAGTACGGAAAGGACACAATGGCGATCTTAGTAAACAGGCCAATACCAGGAAGGTTCCCTCAGCTGCTGGTGCACTAAACAAGATCATGGAGATCACCATGGCCATGATAGCAAAAAACTTTGAAGACAGCATTTTTATTCAAAAGATCGATTAAATTATTAGTTGATTTTTAGACGGCCGAGGATGTAGAACTAAGGCTGTGTTTCACAAACGGAAACATTTATAGGAATTTTAGAAAATCGCTATTACGTAAAACAAGCAGATGTAATGCGCACAAAAAATTTCTCTTCAATATGAACAATAGCTTTTCAAGATTCGAACAAAGGCAATGGAAGTTTATTTGATCAAATGGTAATTTGAACTGGTAATGTGACCTAGATGTACACCCAGCAGGGAGGACAGTATAATATTGTACTTGAGACCCTAAATTGGTTTCGATTTCACAAAATGGGAAATAATATTGAAATTGGCTGCATAGAAAAATCGGCTGCATAGAAAAAAAGTTCCCATTTCTAATTTGCGTATGTACCAAATTTTGAATATAGATTTCTACATTGAGATGTTGTCAAGGATATAATTTTGAACAAGTTGAAAAGCAGTTCCACCATTTGGAAGGAATTTAAAAATTTTCAAAAAATAAAATCCTTAAAATATTATGTTAACATTTTAAAAATACCGTATATAGCCGTTATATTGGGGTCCTGATGACGAGGACCTACATAGGCATTGTTTGTCATAAGCCATTACCATATTCAAATTCGAAATAAAATGGTGAATAATGTAGCTAAAATCATCAAAATAGGGAGGTACCGTTATATCGGAGCTGTGCGAAGACCTGGACTAGCATAGATAATTTTCTGTCACAGGCTATAGCATCCATTATGAAAGTCAAATACGATATCTCAAACAATTTCGGTGGTTATTGTACCTAAACTCGTCAAAATACCGAATATAGGGAGATACTGATATATAGGGCATATACGAAGACCTGGACCTGCAAAGACAATTTGCTGTCACAGACTGTAGTTCCCATTACGAACTCTAAATACGTAATTTGAAACAATTCTGGTGAATAATGTCGCTAAAATCATAAAAATACCGAATATCGGAAGATACCGCTATATGGGGGCTATATGAAAATTTTAGCCTTCTATCTCAATTCGTTCGCAAGATTGATTACAACAGAGAGACGGACAGACAGACGGACAGACAGACGGACCGACAGACGGACAGATAGACGGACAGACAGACGGACATGGTTAAATCGACTTAGAATTTTACGCTGATCAATAACATATATACTTTGTTGGGTCTGACATGAGTATTTCGAGGATTTACAAAAGAATGACGAAGTTATGGTGGAGGGTAAAAAAAAAACAAGGAAAAAAGCAGTAAGTTCGGCCTGGCCGAACTTTGAATACGCTCCACCATTTGGAACGAATTAGAAAATTTTCAAAAAAATAAAATCCATTGAAATTTCTGTTAAAATCTTTCAAATACCTAATATCGATATATGGGGGATATACGATATTGTGGACCTATATAGACAAATCTATATCTGGAGGTAAAGTACTCACAAGGAACTCCTTGTGTGGATTTTCAGATAATTCCATTGGGAAATGTGGCTAAAATCATCAAAATCCCGAATATCGGGGGTACCGTTATATGGGGGATATACGATATCGTTAACCTATATAGAGAACTTTGAAAAATTTGGCTGAAATCATCAAAATAACGAATAACGGAGGGTACCGTTATATGGGGTATATACGATATCATGGACCTATATAGATAATTCTCTTTCAAGGGATAAAGTACTCACAGGGATCTCCTTGTGTGGATTTTCAGACCATTCCATTAGAAAATGTGGCTAAAATTATCAAAATACCGAATAACGTGGGGTACCATTATATGGGGGCTATACGATATCGTAGATCGATATAGCCCATCTTCGAACTTGACCTGCCTGCAGACAAAGGAGAGACTGTGCAAATTGTTAGCTTCCTATCTTAATTCGTTTAGACTGTAGCGTGATTACAACAGACGGACGGACAGCTGATCAAGTTTTTAAAGTTTTTATAGAAGAATTCAATCATACATTCTATGATTATAATTATAATTATAATTTAAAGTTCAAAGGACGAAATATGCCGAAGCATTTGTGCCTTTTAAATTCGGACTTGTATTGTCCATTTGGTGCAAAATTAATTTAAAATCAGATAAAGATATATATGAGAGCTATATCAAAAACTGAACCAATCCCGATAAAATTTGGCAAAGATATTTCTGAACAGTATTTGATATATTTCCCTGAATATCGTTGTTATGGAATGCATATTACGGCTGTGGATAACAAATATGACAAATCGGATGAACAGCATATATGGGAGCTATAGCTATATCTGAACCGATCTTCACCAAATTTGGCATACTACCTTCTAGACTCAATTCGGTCGTATGTGCTAAATTCCATATCATTTGGGAAAATATTAGACATTTAGTGCACAATAAAAAGTAAATCGGACTAAGTTATATATGGGAGCTATATCCAAATCTGAACCGATCTCGATAAAATTTAGCAAAAGGTATTTCTGAGGTGTATTTAATATTTCCTCAAATATTGTTGTTACAGAGTGCATATTACGGCTGCGGAGGACAAAAATAACAAATCGGATGAACAATATATGTGCGAGCTGTAGCTATATCTGAACCGATTTCGATCAAATTTGGCATACTTATTTTCAGGCCTAATTTGGTTGTATGTGCAAAATTCCATAATGTTTGGACTGATATTACACGTTTGGTGCACAATAAAAGGCAAATCGGACGAAGATATATATGGAAGCTATATCTAAATCTGATCCGATTATCTCCAATTTTAATAGGGTTCGTCCTTGGGCCAAGCAAATGATGTGTGCAAAATTTCATCTTAATCGGATAATAAATGCAACCTGCATTTTGTTCACAAGAATACATGGACAGACGGACGGACGGACAGACTGACTGATATGCATAAATCAACTCAGAAAGTGATTCTATGGAGATCCTCAAAAATAACTATGGGTCTATCTCGATTCCTTCTCCATGTTACAAACAAATGCACAAAGACATAATACCCTTACCACTATGTGGTGTTGGTATGGGCAAAATTACCATAAAATCGAACATTTATATTCAATTTTATGCGAAATCAAAATTTCCATATTCATCTCAGTTTTGGATGAAGCATGTAAATTTCGCTTTTTACGAGCTTCGTGTATATTCAAAATATTGAGCTTTTGTGGTGTAGGTACAAGAATGAGTGGACCGATATATCCCATCTTCACAATAGATCTTGTATTAGTATATATAATGGGATGTGTGATGCTGATGCTTATTTCGGATTTTATAAAAGTTTTGGCTATTCAAAACTTTGACCCTTTGTAGGGGAGGTATCAGAAGGAATGGTCGACCTCCATTACAGATCCTGTGTTGATAAAAATATTCAGATGTGTCAAGTCTGGAATGGAATCGGATGTTAATTTCGCGTTTTGTGCGCTCAATGGATATTAAAAATTTCGAACTTTTGTGGGGAGAGGTACCAGAAGGAGTGGATCGATATATTCCATCTTAACAACAGATCTTGGGTTTATGAAAATATTAGGATGTCTGAAATTTGACGACAATCGGACTCTAACATCACATTTCATAAGAGTTGTAAGCATTCACAATTTTAACCCCTTGTGGGGGAGATATTTAATGGAGTGTACCGATATTGTCTATTTTCGCACTGACGCAAATATAAGGATTTGCAAATTTTTAGCCAAATCGGATTATCGGTTTTCTTTCTGTGCAAAGAATATTTTTTGAAAATTTCGACCTTTTGTGGGGGAGGTACCAGAAGGAGCGGACCGATATATTCCATCTTAACACCAGACCTTGGATTGATAAAAAAATTGGGATGTGTGAAATTTGAGGGCAATCGGGCTCAAGCTTCCGAACGAAATGAAGTAGATTGATAAAACTTTTTTCAATTGTATATTATGTCTGCAGTACTATTGCTATTGAAAATGGGCCATGCAGGTCCACGTTTTGGTATAGCCCATATATAATGGTACCTCCCTATTTTCGGAATTTTGGTGATTTAAGCGACATTAATATCCGGGAATGTCTCAAATTTGGTATTTGAAGTTTATAATGGATGCTAGAGCCTATGACAGAAAATTGTCCGTTTAGGTCCATGTTCTTGTATAGCCACCATATAAGTTTCGCATTTGAATATTGTAATAGCTTATGACAAAAGTTGGCTATGCAGGTCCATGTCGTCTTATAGACCCTATATATATATATATATATATATATATATATATATATATATATATATATATATATATATATATGCACAAAAGTTGGCTATGCAGGTCCATGTCGTCTTATAGACCCTATATATATATATGTATATATTTATATATATATATATTTTTTTTTTTTTTCATTATTGAAAATTGTCAAATTCGTTTCAAATAGTGGAGGGTATTAAAAGTTCGGCCAGCTTTTTTTACTTGTTAAATATAAATCTTAAAATATAGAAATGTTTTTGAGAAATGTCTCAATAAATCAAACCATAACTTCGCATAGTACTGTTGTGGCCTATTAATCCAATGACAATACTGATTCATTTACCTAATAAATTCGCCATTGGTTGAGAACTCTGCTTCTTACTGTGGGGAAAACTTATTGTTATCTTATATATAGATGGCGACGCAATAGCAATTGCATGCATTTCCAGCAAATACATGGTAATGTGGCGTTTCCACTGCACTTGATTCGCTCTCTATTCGTTGTTTGGCCCTTAACTATGAAAAAACTATCTAATTCTTCACACAAAATTTCCTGAGCGAACACTCATATTTGTACGTTGTTCAAATCAAATCAACGAAAAAATATGTCCCATCCCTAACAAATGAGAGCATTTATCGAAAAAATAAATTATGACATTTAAAAATTAAAAATAGGAAAATTTAATGAAATTTTAAAATTTTTTGGGAAGACTGAAAATTATGAATGAAAACTACAATGTTGAATGGCGTATGTACATTCAAACGAAAGTACATTTTGTTTTCTCTCTCATCCGAGGTGCGCATTTTGTCCACGAGTTGAAATTTCCACAGAAAACTGGAAACAAAAGATGCAATATTTTCAAAATGTTTATGTCGGCAGAAAAAAA